GGAGGGGGCGGGTGGGCGAAGGGGCGTCCCCAGACGGCGGCGGCGGCACGCCCGCGAGGGGCGCCCACTGGCCGAGGCGCGGTGGGTATGGGTACAAGTCTGGCCTCCATGGGGGGCCATTCTCCACAAAAACACTGCGCCTCGGGTGTCTGGGGAAGGGGGCAAGCGACTCCAGGATGCAGGGCATAATTATGGATGTCCATCCTGCCCGCATCAACGATTCAGGCAACTCGACGGGCGGCGGGGGCAGGTTTCGGAACTCGTCGAGACCCGTGGCGGACTCCGAGGCCTGCCTCCCGCCTCCCTCCGCTCCAGGAGACCTTATAGTTGGTGGGGTGTTGGGGGTAGAGCTCGGGTGTCGCCGCTCGGCGAGGGCGGGGGGAGGGAAGCCCTCACATCCAGGCGACGCCGCAAGAATCACGGCGGCGAGCCTTCTCGTGTTTTCCGCCTGCGGGGGTCGTCTTCTGGCCCCCGGGCCTGCACGAGCACGACTCGGGGTGGGCACCCGGTCTCCGGGGGGAGAGATCGAGATCCGCAGGGGCCCACGGCACGAAAAGGCTGCTGCTTCGGGCGGGGGCGGGGGAAGGCCAGAAGGGGGATGGGAAGCAGCGGGCGGGCAAAGCAGGCCAGCCAGACTTGGGGGGGGTTGTGGTGATGTGGTCGCGGCCCCCCCATGGCTGGGGAATCCCGTCTCGCGAAATCGTCGACGCGAGGGCTTCCTGCCAGGGGGGAGGGGAGGAGGGGAAGGAACACAGCTCCATCAGGTGTGGCTGGTCGGCGAGGTGGAGGCGGAGGGGAGGGAAGAGACGTGGAGCGACATGCTGGAGGAGAAGACGAGAGCGGGAGGGGAGGAGAGGATATGGGCAGGGAGGGGGGGGGGGAAGGGGAACAGGGGCAGGGCTCGGCAGCAGCCGCTCTAGGGGGACATTGGCTTCTGCGCGGACGCCATCGACTACTACGCCGAGGCCGATGCTTCCCTGCATGCCTGCCGTCCGAGGATACTGATAAGAGGACATTTATGGCGGTAGTCAGGTGTAGAGGAGCAGGATGAAAAAGACGAAGAGGGATAATACAGAGGGAGGATGAAGAGGGAAGACAAGGTAATAATAAAAACAACAGGCGGAAGGTCAGGGGGAGTCTGGATGAGCTGGAGGCAGCGGTAACAACAGCGGCAAGAGGGGGAGGATGGGAGCTGGAGGTGCGGTATCAGGGGCAGGAGGCGTGGATGACGGGAGTGCCAATGTGTTCCAGTTGAGCCGGCATGCCGAAGCTTCGGATGCATCGTCCTTCAGGGCTCAAGGAGGGGATTCTGCATCATCGTTGTCACTGTCACCGTCATGCTCTCGTATGGGAGTTTCCATTCCAGGAGATCGAGCAGAAGCATGATGAGGAAGACGGAGAGCAGGAGGAGGAGCAGGTGTACGGAGGCACAGTGGCGCGGACCAGGTCGCGCCGAGCGCGCTGGAGGCCATGCCACTGGAGCTCCCGGCCGCCCTCGGCGGAGACGACTTCAACGCCAGGGTGGCCCGGCGGGAGGAGGGGCACCCCGCACGAAGAGGAGCGAGAAGTCATGACAACGGCACGTTCCATCTGCATGCAGCCATGAGCAACTTAACTTCCCAAGGGTCCCCATTGCACCCTTGCTCCTCGGTCCATCCTAGCCCGCAACCCTCAGCCATGGGCCATGGGCTCCCAGGTTCGGCTTCCACTTGCGCGCCCAAGTGCCTTGCATCCTGACCGCGCACTCTCCTGGTCCAGTCGCACTGTACCATAGCCATCAAGAGCCTCAAGCGGCGCTTCCTCCCGGGACCTGTCCAGCAGGGCTCGACCTGAGCGGCCTTTCTGCGATCTCGGGGACCGCTTTCGTCTCCACTGCGTTCTGAGGCAAGGGCGAGACGAAGACGGAACGAGGGCCCAGACATGAGACGTCTTGATTTTTTCAGGACGGCGCCCTCGGAAGTCCAGACCCTTTCCCGGGAGCCGATGTTTCATCCCGAGTCTTTCCTTGACGGCCCCGGGGCCCGGCGAGAAAGGGCTTCTATATAGAGGCCGAAGACGGCGAAGAACCTCCGCCCTGCATCTCCTACGACGCGGTCGTGTCTGGGGGGGGAGCGCGGAGGCCAGACCAGCACGGAGAGCGCCGCTCAGGTCGGGCCCTGCGGCCCGGCAGGCACCATGGCCGCCCCGATGCGGGCGCTGCCGCGGGGGCCGTGGCCCGTGGCTCGGCGCGGGCCCTGGCGGCGGACCGTGCCGCTGGCCGCCGCGGCCTGCAGCTGCGGCTGGGCCGCCCTCGGCTTCCTCGGCGCCTCGCGGCCGGGGGCGGGCGGCGCCTTGAGCTCGGAGGAGGGCCCGGCCGAGACAGCGGCGGCCCTCCCTGCCGTGTTGCCCCCCTCGGGCGGCGATTGGGGGGGGGGGGGGGGAGAAAGCGCGGAGCACGACGACGACGACCACGACCACGGCGGCGACGACGACGACGGCGGCGGCGGCGGCGGCGACGACGACGGCGACAACAACGGCGACGAGGACGACGAGGACGGCGACGAGGACGACGACGACGCGCATCCTGCCCGGTGGCCAGGCTGCTCTTGATCGCCGAGCGCGCCTCGATACGTCCGTTTTGATACGCAGCACGTGCCGTTCTCGCAACGTCCGTGTCGACAAGTTGCGTGTTGGATCAACGTATTGACCCACGTTTTGGCGAACGCACCTCGTCAGACCTATGTTTTCAGTCTGCGTGTCGAGCTCCGTGTCAGCACGCCACGTGATGCGTGCTGCGAACTGGGGCAGCCAAGTCCAGAAGCCCCCCCGGGAGCCTCTTGAGGGGGTCTCCGTGCCATCGGGGAAGGAGGGCCGGAGGCCTTCCCGGCCTTCCGGGCCTGAGAGGGCACGCCCCCCTCTCGTCCCCCGCGGGCTCGCCGCCGCTCCCGTCGTCGGCCTCGAGGAGGCGTCTCGTCGCCACGGCTGTGCCCGCCTCGAGAAACGGAAGAGCGGGTTGGGGTGGACCCCGGCAGGGATTTTGGGACGGCTTAGGGTTATGTCGGGCATGTCCCCCTACAGGCGGATATCGGACGACAAATAAAACACTCTCAGAAAAAATATTCCCAAATATTGAAAACATCAAAAGTATGTAAAGATCGTCACACAACAAAGGTCCTCAGCCTATGTGAGTAATTTTTTTTTAATTTTCCCCCTGTAGACGGACAGGCCCGACTTACGCTTAGGGGCTGATTTTGGCCGGGCGGGAGGTTCTTCGTCGTCACTGCTGGCCTTCCTCCGGCCGGCGGCGAGCGCGCGACCGCACACCTGACTGCGCGCCACTTCTTCGGCGGCGGCGGGGCGCCCACGGGGTCTCCCAAGCCCGAAGGAGGAGAAAACAGGCACGAGTCCCCCGAAGTTGCGGATAAGAGCGAGGGGTGCCCCTCCTCTGCGTCCATCTCAGGTGCCCATCCCCAGTTTCCATCCCCAGTGTCCATCCCCAGTGTTCATCCCCAGTGTCGATCCCCAGTGTTCCTCCCCATGGTCCACCCCCGGCTTCCATCCCGGAGGCGAGCGCTCCGGAGTTGCCAGCGCACGCCCAGGGAAGAAACAATCCCGTGCGGGCACCCCTCTCTCTGATGCGTCAACTCTCGGAGTTCCGCGCGGATGTCCCGGATCGGCGCTGTGCGCTCTGGCGCGCTCTGGGCTCTCGGGGGGGGGGGGGACCAGCGCAGATCCCAGAGGTCCGCGCGGATCCTCGAAAGCCTGTGCTGACAGTGGAGGCACACGCCAAGAAAAACCCTGCATGCCTCCAGGGTGCCCTGGGTTTCTTGGGTTTCGGTGGTGTTGCTGTGGGAAGCGCGACGTTCCGGCGCCAAAAATCCATGGACGTCCTGGGGTCTCAGGGTTGGGTTTCTTGTGGAAGGTTTCTTGTGGACTGGCCTCCGCTGCATGCCGTTTTCTCTCCTTCTGCGATCCCATCCCCGGACTCCCGAAGCCGAGCAGCAAGCACGTCATCACGGGGAACCCGTTGTACCCGCCGTGGCCAGCGGGGATGGAGGAGGCCATGTTCGGCATGGGCTGCTTCTGGTGCTCCGAGAACATCTTCATGCGGATGGAGGGGGTGTACTCCACCCAGGTCTGATGGGCCTGTTTTCCACCACCACCACCACCATAAGTTGGAGGGGGGAAGGACGTGGAGGAGGAGGAGGACGCGGAGGAGGAGGCGGAGGAGGAGGACCCCCTCACCCTCCTACTTAGGGTGGTGGCGATGGAAAACAAGCCCACCCAGGTCGGCTACGCCGGCGGCGACATCCCGAACCCGACGTACGAGGACTGCTGCACCGGCCAGTCTGGGCACAACGAGGTCGTCCGGGTGGTGTTCGACCCCAGCGTGGTATCCTACGAGGAGTTGCTGAAGAAGTTTTGGGAGAAGCACGACCCGACCACCCTGAACCAGCAGGGCAACGACAGAGGCACGCAGTACCGCTCTGGTATCTACTATTACAGTGAGGCCCAGAAGGCTACCGCCGAGAGCACAAAGGCCGCCTACGACAAGGCCCTCTTGGCGGAGGACTGGGGCAGGACCGTAAAGACAGAGATCGTCCCTGCGCCCGAATTCTATTACGCTGAGGACTACCACCAGCAGTACGACGCGAAACCAGGTGCCCGCGGCTATTGCGGCCTGCGGCCGACTGGCATCTCGTTTCCGTCGCCCGCTTCGGCCGTGTCGTGAGGTGCTGCGCGGGCCAGCTGGTTGGGGCCTACCGTCGTTTTCGGACGCGAGGATGAAGAGGAGGCACACATTCCGTGAGCGGATGGTCACTTCGCTGCCCTGAAGTGCTTTGGTAGCGCAGGGCATCACAGATATTCGATTTTCGCGCCGTTCATGCACCTGCCGCGGCGCCCCTCCACCCCCCCGAAAATGCAACTCCGATCCTTCAATGTATTCTTGTTGTCCCGCGCGGACAGGCAAACGGCCGATCACGATTGGCTGGTGGCTGCCAGAAACTCCGTATTTCCCAGAAGGCATCTTTAACCAATCGTCGGGTGTTGCTAGAAGTGCCCCTGGCCCAAGGTGCCCCCAGGATTTCCAAGGAGGCCCCCACGGCCTCCAGAGCACCCCATCACGGGTCCCAGAGGGCCCCAGGGGCTCCAAAATTGAACCAAAAGTTGGGGGCACTTCGGGCCAGGGGCACCTTTAGCAACCCCCGAAATCGCATCAGTTCGTTCTTCATTTTTCCGTCTCGCATGTATCGGTCCACTCGAGCCCAGTGCTGCTGCGGGTTTCATGTTCTTTCTCGCGGCGCTTGTCTTGACGCTCGTCCTCCAGAGCCCATGCGCCTCGGTGCCCGGGGCCCTCGGGCATCGATCGGGGGCGAGACATTGGCTCCCCGGGGGATGTCGGGGGCGTCCAAGAGGGGGGCGGCGATTAGAGGGGTGGATATCATGGCAGGGGCAATGATATCTCCCAAGATGTCATGGTGCCTCTTCTTATTTCAATACGTCCCTGGCTCCTCCCGGGGCCGCGCACATGCCGCAAGCCATGATTTTCGCTCCCCTCTCTTGGACACCCCCCACTTGGCCGCGCCAAAGCAAACTAATTAAATATGGCAGGCGATCCCCTTCGGGGAGATGTTGCTATTGGCTTCGAAGTCTGGCGTGTGTGATTCCGCAGTGTGCTCTGTGCTACATAACTCTTTGTGTATGGCCGTAGTGTATGGTCTTTGTACTTGGTATGTACACGTGTTGTTCCAGGTGTTCGAGTTCCAGTTCGCACGTTTCTTGCACATTCTTCTAATCGTGCGTTCAATTTCGTGTTTACGCGTCTTGCTTATGTGCACCCGCCATGTCGTTCGTACTTGTATCTGATGTGTGGTTTCGCGCATATCGTTTACTATTGAAGTCAATTACGCATGTTCCGTTCCTGTATGACTGCAGCATGGCATTAAGCATGTGATTGATGCTTGATTGACATGTTCCGTGGTCTCAGGACTTGATTTCCGATCTCCATGTTTGCTCTTGGTGTGTATATGTCGCTGTACGCTCGCGGTGGCGATTCGCGATGTATGGTTGTGATGTCAGCCCTTAATGTGTTATTGATGCAACTAGGGTGCTGCCGTCGGCTTCTCATGTACGTGGTTATCATAGTTTACTGATGCGTGGTAGTGGAGTATGTTCTTCGTGTGTGCTGTTAGTGTGCATGTGTGCGTACGTAACTTGTGTCCACTCTTGGTGCCCGCTCCGCCCCTTCCTGATGTGTCTCATGTTTGTGTGTACTTGGTTCGTTATGGAAGGATGTGCGTGCTGTCTGTTCGTTGTGTATGTTAGTGCTGCCTGTTATTAACGATTGTTTTTTTATGTACGTCCGTGCTGCCTGTTCCAAATCTCGATTGATAATGTACGCCTTAGCGTCGGTTTTTGTAACACGGGACGCATGTTTGATATTGGTGTATGCTATTGCGTGGCTGATTGGCATTATTGGTGCATCGCCTGTGCTCTTAATGAATGTCCTGGACGTCAACCTTCGCAATATCTTCTAGGTGGGTGATTTATGGAGTGTCATCTTGATGGTTGTTCGGGATTTGTGCGATTGCTTCCGATTCTGGGTGTCAGGTGCTAATGTCTGACTGTCAGCGGTATATGTCCATATTTGCCGTCTGTTACTGGCCTCTGATTTTGATGTCTGCTATTCGTGGATTTTCGAGATGTATATTCGTGAAGGCTGCTAACGGTCTGTGTTATTCCTGCATATTAACCATGCCATGTCTGCACTTGATCTATGTTATTGGGTTGTACGGTTTACGTTCGACCTGATTGCATGTTATTGTTATCTGTGACCATTGCATCATATTACCCGCACGGTCTTCGCCCTCTGCCGACGGCCTGATCAAAATGCTGACCTGTAGGCGACTGGGAGGTCTGCGCTGGATGGGCGCCGAGAGAATCTGTCAATAGGGGAGATGAAGAAAATCGGTCTCCGGACCGCTCCCAGGATCCATTTGGATTACTTTTCCACTCCGGATCACGCCTGGCGTGCCCACGGCCCGACAACGGCCCCCAGACGCTTAAAACCCGTGCTGGGCCACCTCGGCCCCCCCAGCCCTCATCCTCCCAGGCAGTCACGTGGTCCGTCATGGCTGCTTCCGAGGGTGCAGAGACTCCTTGCGGTTTTGGGGTGCCGTGCGCATTTCGTCGGCTTTGGTCAACGCTTGGACGAAGTATGGACGAAGGGATGAAGAGCGGCGGTCGAAGTCTGGACGAAGTCAATCCTGTCGAACTCGCGTGTACGATAGGACCGCGCAGGTCCGCAGAGGCTCCCATGGAGGCCGCCCAGCCGCAGCTCTCCTGCCCTGGGGTTACCAGCCTCGAACGTATCCTTATCCCTAAGATTGACACGCCAAAAGGCGATGACAATCTTAGGGATCCGCCCTCAAAAGATAAGGGAACCCCTGAGATTGGCATCGTGATGAGGAGGTGCCCAGCATAGGGATAGGGATATGCTCCAGGCTGGCAATGGGGCAGGTGGAGCACGAGCCCCTGGGCGTGGTGGGCTGCGTGACGCCCTGGAACTACCCGCTCCAGCAGGCGCCCCGCACCGGCCCCTCTTGCAGGGGCCCTCGCCGCGCTCCCGGCATCGTCGGCCGTCGCCGCCGGCGGCCGCCGACGTCGGCCTCGTCGTCGCCGTCGCCGTCGTCCTCGCCCTCGCGGTCGTCGGCCGCCGTGGTCGCCCGTCGGCCTCGGAGGAGGGCCTCGGCGGAGGCGGCCGGCGGCGGCAGCGGCGACCTGCCTGCGTCCGCTCTGGCCCTGGGCAGGGACTGGGAACAGCACGGCTCGGGATGGAAAGCCGGCGCCGGGGGGAGAGGAGAGAGCATGCGCAGCATGAAAGGAGGGTCAGGAAGGGCTGAGAGGCAGGAGGGAGGAGGGCGAGGAGGATTTGAGGGAGGCGGAGGAGGGGGGATGTGGGAAGAGGGATGGCGAGGAGGAGGAGGGAGAAGGCGATCAGGAGGGAGGGTGTCGGGATGGAGGTTGATTCGGAGCGAGCATTGCAGGAGGGACCTCTGAAGTTTCAGCTCCCAGAGTGTACGACTCGCAGTCGAAGTAATTCTCAGTAGTAGTTATCATCGTGGTAGTTGTGCCAGTAGTGGTAGTAGTAGCAGTAGCAGTAGCAGAAGCAGTAGCAGTAGCAGTAGCAGTAGCAGTAGCAGCAGTAGTAGTAGTAGTAGTAGTAGTAAAAGTAGTAGTAGTAGTAGTAGTACTAGTAGTAGTAGTAGTAGTAGCAGTAGTAGCAGTAGTAGTAGGCAGTAGGCAGTAGGCAGTAGGCAGTAGGCAGTAGGTAGTAGGTAGTAGGTAGTAGGTAGTAGGTAGTAGGTAGTAGGTAGTAGTAGTAGTAGTAGTAGTAGTAGTAGTAGTAGTAGTAGTAGTAGTAGTAGTAGTAGTAGTAGTAGTAGTAGTAGTAGTAGTAGTAGTAGTAGTAGTAGTAGTAGTAGTAGTAGTAGTAGTAGTAGTAGTAGTAGTAGTAGTAGTAGTAGTAGTAGTAGTAGTAGTAGTAGTAGTAGTAGTAGTAGTAGTAGTAGTAGTAGTAGTAGTAGTACTAGTAGTAGTAGTAGTAGTAGTAGTAGTAGTAGTAGTAGTAGTAGTAGTAGTAGTAGTAGTAGTAGTAGTAGTAGTAGTAGTAGTAGTAGTAGTAGCAGTAGTAGTAGTAGTAGTAGTAGTAGCTAGTAGTAGTAGTAGTACTACTACTACTAATAGTAGTAGTAGTCGTAGTAGTCGTAGTAGTAGTTCTAGCAGCAGTAGAAGTAGTAGTAGTAGTAGTAGTAGTAGTAGTAGTAGTAGTAGTAGTAATGGAAGTAGTAATGGAAGTAGTAGTAATCGTCGTAGTAGTAGTAGTCGCAGTAGTACTCGTAGTCGTAGCCGTAGTACCAGTAGTAGTAGGAGTAGTAGTAGTAGTAGTAGTAGTAGTAGTAGTAGTAGTACGAGTAGTCGTAGTAGTAGTAGTAGTAGTAGTAGTAGTAGTCGTAGTAGTAGTAGTAGAAGTAGTCGTAGTAGTAGTAGAAGTAGTAGTAGTAGTAGTAGTAGTTGTTGTAGTCGTAGTAGTAGTAGTAGTAGTAGTAGTTGTAGTAGTAGTAGTAGTCATACTAGTAGTATTAGTGTCAGTAGTAGTAGTAGTAGTAGTAGTAGTAGTAGTAGTAATGATAATAGTAGTAGTGGTAGTAGTAGTGGTGGTGGTGGTAGTAATATTCATAAGAGTAGTAATAGTCGTAGTAGTAGTAGTAGTAGTAGTAGTAGTAGTACGAGTAAGAGTCCGAGTAAGAGTAAGAGCAATCATACGAGTCAGAGTATGAGTAAGGGTGCGACTTAGAGTTGTAGTTGTAGTAGTAGTAGTAGTTGTTGTCGTAGTATTGGTTGTATTACTACTGGTTTTCGTAGTAGAAGTAGTAGTAGTAGTAGCAGTAGTAGTAGTAGTAGTAGTAGTTGTTGTAGTAGTGTTCTTACGATTAGTAGTGGTAGGCTTAGTAGGAGTAGTAGTAGTAGTAGTTGGTAGTAGTAGTAGTAGTAGTAGTAGTAGTCGTAGTAGTAGTAGTAGTAGTAGTAGTAGTCGTCGTAGTAGTAGTAGAAGTTGTAGTTGTAGTTGTAGTTGTAGTGGCAGTGGCATTGGCAGTGGTAGTGGTAGTAGTAGTAGCAGTAGTAGTATTAGTAGTAGTAGTAGTAGTAGTAGTAGTAGTAGTGGTAGCCGTCTTCGTTGTAGTCGTAGGAGTGGTAGTTGTAGCCGCAGTTGTGGTAGTAGCACTGGTAGTGGTAGTAGCAGTAGTAGTACCCGTAGCAGCAGAAGAACAATCAGTTCTTTAGGATGAGTAGTAGTGTAAGAGTAGTAGCACCTGTATCAGAACTGGCCGTCGTAGTAATATGGTTATTGTTGATCTCGGTATGGGTCTCATAAGTCATAGTAGTAGCAGTTGTCGTACTAATCGTAGTAGTAGTGGTAGTAGTAGTAGTAGTAGTAGTAGTATTATTCTTAGTAGTA